AAGGGCGAAAGCCACACTCGGCCTCCTGGGGCCAAAGTGGAGGTGAGTCCGCAGGGGCAGGCTCCCCAGAGGCTCTGGGCAGATCCCTTCCTTGCTCTTCTGCATCTGCAGCTGCATTCCATGCCTTTCCTGACTCTGGCCACCCCCACCCTCCTCAAAGCCAGCCCACCGAAGCTGGCTACACGGAGCCCATGTGGCCTCCTTGTCCAGTCCTCACCTCCTCTGCCTCCACTCACAAGCACACATGTGTTTACCTGTGTGTCCCACCGGATTAACTCAGTGCCAAACACAAGCTTCGACTAGTCACGGCTACACAGTCTCTTTGCCATGGAAAGTGCCATTCCCAGCTTTCAGTGATCACAAGGTGGGCCTCTTTGTCAGGGCCCTGCTCCCCTCCCCAGTGGCAGATACCCCAGGGGACGTGTCCCCTCCCAGGCTTCCCATTGCCCTCCTCAGTGGCTTCCACACCACAGGGGAAGATTAAAGATGGTGTCTGAGGAGAGAGGTGGGCAGTAGCAGCCCTCCATCCCAAATCTGTGAGAAACAGGACCCCCAAGCCCTCCCAGGAATGTGGAACTAAACACCTAGTAGCTCTGTGTGTGTGTGTGTGTTTGTGTGTGTATGTGTGTGAAAAGCGGCACCAGACTTACACCGCCCAGTGTCGCCCAGCAGTGTTGAACAAGGAGGACCTGGTGCTGCGGGCCGCCATCCTGAGCTCCAGAGGCCTAACTACTTCTCAACCTTGTCAACCAGCCGTCTGGGCATGCGCACACATTCTCTGCATTTACTCCTTGATTTGTGGAAGTGGGTTTCAGGAAAAGTGAGGGAAGGAAGGGACAGCTAGGTCTGTGTATTAATCAGTGTGTACACGTTTCCTTTATATTTTATTTTAAGTAGTTGTGCAAAGGGGTTTCATGTCAACAAGTCAGATGATGAGTTCCGTGCACCTTGATCAATGTCACCCCTTCCCTCGTTCTCCCCTAGCTTTCCCAGACCCATTCATACCCTTAAGTTACGAGTTCAACTCATCACATAATGTATGTACACTGAATGTAATGACTGGGTTTGCCTGCTCTTCCTCCATTTGTCTGTCTCCACCCCCCCTCCTGTTTTCCTCCCTCCTCTGTACATATGTTTCTAGGACACAGATTTATTACAGTAAAAATTATCCTGCTAAATGTTTCCTAAATTGGATCCTAAAACAGATGAAGAGTGTTCCTGGAAAATCTTGGGAAATTTGAAGAATCCAGAGTTTGGTTAATAGGAAGGTTAATGTTCATGGTAGGTAGCATCTTCGCTTTGATGAATAGGCGGTAGTTATCAGAGGAGACCTTAGCATCAGGGCTAAGAGAACACTTTGTTCTGTCTTTGATATTTTTCTGTAAATCTAAAAATCTTCCCAAACATAAAATTTATTAAAAATTGCATTCCAAGATTTAAAAAAACCAATAGAATACAATGCTGTCAAACTTGAACCAGGGCCTCACTCCTAGCTACTCAGGAGGCTGCGATCTGAAGATCACAGTTCAAAGCCAGTCCAGGCAGGAAAGTCCATGAGATTCTTATCTCCAAATAAGCACAAAAAAACAAAAATGGAGCTGTGGTTCAACTGGTAGAGCCTTGAGCACCAAAGCTCAGGGACAGCACCCAGGCCCTGAGTTCAAACCCCAGCACCACATACATATGCACAAAAAGTTAACACACAAAAAATGATAAGCTAGTAAATCCACTAGTCAATTTAGCTTTAATTTTAATTTAATTTTTTTTTCTTTTGGTCATGAGCTCTTCAACTCAAGGCAAGCGCTCTACCACTGCTCCACCTCCGGTTTTCTGGTGGTTTATTGGAGATAAGAGTTTCACAGCTTTTCCTACCCGGGCTGACTTTGAACCATGATCCTCAGATCTTAGCCTCCTGAGTAGCCAGGATTACAGGCGTGAGTCACTGGCACCCAGCTTTTTATTTAACTTTTAATGTTTAACTTTGGTGCCAATATTGGAGCTTGAACTCAGCTTCTTTGACTCAAAGTGAGTACTCTGCCACTTGAGCCGCAGCTCCATTTCTGGCTTTTTTGGTGTTTAATTGGAGATAAAGAATCTCACAGACTTTCCTGCCTGGTATAGCTTTGAATCGCAATCCTCAGATCGCAGCCTCCTGAGTAGCTAGGATTACAGACGTGAGCCACCAGCACCTGGCTTAGCTTTTAGTTTTTATTGAGGTATAACATACAAGCAATAAAGTACACAAAGCTTAAGTTTTATTCCAGTTGGTGAAATACTGCACACGGAATTACTAGGCCAGGGATCACACAATGTAACATCTCCCGCACCTAGAAATCTCTTTTTTGCCGTCTCTCAGCGATGGCTCCCCACCCCAGTGGCCACTATCCAGATTGAAGTTCCAATTAGTTTTGTCCAGTTTTGAACTTGATGAACGTAGAAAGTGTGTACACTAGCGTCAAGTATTGTACCATGTTGGCTGCTTACATTCAGCATAAAGTCTGAAAACATCTTTGCTCCTATGTTGAGGAGTAGGTTATTCTTTCCTGTTGTATAATATTCCAGTTGAACAAATATTCCCTAATTGAATTGCCTATTCTATTTTTTTTTTAATGAGCATGCATGGTTTTCTAAGTTGAACGTTTTTACAGGTAAAGCTGCTGGAGTTACTTGTATGTGCCTTTAGCAGATATGTGGCTGGCTATCTCTCGAGTGTCTATTTCCGAGGGGAGTTACCGCATGGGAAGAGCTTGGATGTTCACTTCTAGGAAATCCTCCAAACAGCTTTCTGAACTGCTTGTCCCAGTGACCCTTCCTATAGAAGTGCATGCGCGCTCTAACGGCTCCTCCTCCCTGCCAACACTTGCTACGGTCAGCCTTTTCCTTTCATCGTTCTGGTGGATAGACGTCTCCTACTTCGAATCTGCATTTTCCTAATGATTCTGAATGTTTTCTTCCCGTGGATTTAGCAGCCTTTATGATATTCTCTTTTGTGAGATGCTGATTCAAGCCCTTTGACATTTTTAAAAAATTGGATTGATTGTCTTTATTGTTGTTGATTTGTGGATACTCTTGCTATATTTTAGAAACCAGTCTTTTTCAGATATATGTATTATAAGTTTCTTCTCTCTATTGATGATTTTTATTTCACCTGTACTGCTATCAACTTGAATGAGTTGTTGCTCTTTTAAAGGATTTTTTTATTAGCATTCATTAGCTGCCGGGGGGGGGGGTAGTTTCATTGTGGCATAACCACACACACATACAATGTATCTCAATCAAATGGACCTGCACCATTATTCTCCCCACCCCCACCCCTTAAAACAGTGTCACCTGTTTCATTGTTCTATTTTCATATATGCAGAGGAATTCCTTCCATCATATTCATCCTCACTCACCCTCCTATTAGCAGACATGCCTATACAATATGTTAATCAGAATAACCCCTTCCTATTGCTTCCCTCCCTCCCAATCAACAGTTTTCATTGAGATTCCCTTTGCCATCTTCTAACATAGCTGCAATCTATTTTGAAATTATTCCACCTATTTCTTTTTTTCTCTTCTCTCACCTTGATCTAAATCAGAAGACTTTGGAATTTTCACATGCCTAGACCTAGAAGGAATCTAGAGATGCTATATGCCATGTTTGGCTCTGCAGAGCTTCGGAATTAGTTGGTCAAGGAGAGAAAACTCCCCAGGGAGCCCTTGATGGTCTGCCTAGGGCGGCCGGTGCCAGGTTTTACCGGCATCTCATCTCATCTCCACCGGGCCTTAGCGGGTGGTGATCTTCCAGGAGGTAAGGCCAGTCCTGGCTGGGTCTCCCTCCTTCCCACACCTTGCCAGGGCAGCTTTACTAATGCTCACCGCTCTAGTATCAGCGGGAGTTTCCCAGTGCACTCTGGGAGTGCCTGGATTTGCATAACACCTGGAAGGGTCACTCACTGAAGCTGGTCCAGAGTCTGCTGCCTACTGCAGGCTCACCCCAACACCTGCAAGAGACACCAGGCAGGTGGCCCCCAAACAGGAGACCCTGACTCCCCAGCGCAGACCTGAATCCCTCTTCTCTCCAGCTGTGTCAGACCCCAGAAGCGGCATCCTGGTGGGGGGCAGTGCCTGGAACCGAACCCAGAATCAGATCTCTGCCTCCAGCTTTACCCTGGCCAGTCAAAGTCACCAACCTCTCCACAATGGTTGTCACTGAGCCCAAAGTGTTCTAAAGCCGGGCACTAGTAGCTCACACCTATAATCCCAGCTACTAAGGAGGTCGCAGGTCAAAGCCAGCCAGAGCAGGAAAGTCTGAGAGACTCTTATCTCCAGTGAACTACCAGAAAACCAGAAGTGGAGCTGTGACTCAAATGGTGGAGTGCTAGACTTGAGCCAAAAACAAAACAAAAGAAAACAAACAAAAAAACCCAACAAAACCCGAAAAAACCAAAAGCCAAAACACAAAACACATACACACACAGCCTCCCCCAAAGCACACAAGCTCAGGGAAATGACTACAATTGTTCAAGTTGGCTTACTTGTTCTAGAGCCTTCCTTTCCTCCCTGCATTGGTACTCTCCATGCTGCATGCGCGTACACACACACACACACACACACACATTCTGCTAATTCACATTTTGGGCTCCCCACCCCCACCCCAGGGACACAGTGAACATCTCGGGGGAAGAAATGGGCTAGACTAAGGAATCTGTCAAGCGCTCCACAGAAGTTCGGAAGCCGCAGCGTGACAGGCGCTGGGCAGAGCGACAGCTGCTGTGTGGCCCACCTTTCCTGACAGGAGCTGAAGAAAAGCGGTTTTGTTTCAAAACTCAAAAAAAAAAAAAATTCTAGGCTCCAAATAGAATCTTCTGGAAAAGTGGAGGAGGAAGGAGGCAGAGAGCCCTGAGGCAGCCCTTCCCTTGCACTCACAGTGAAAGGCCCGGTCCAGAGGGACTCGGAAGGAAGGGAAGAGGGAAGAGGAAGGGAGGGGAAGGGAAGGAAGGGACCACGGGACTGGCTCACTTCCCCTCAAATACACTTGGGAAAGCCTGTTTGAGGGTGAACATGAGGAAAATAATCTCGTTGTAGTTATTTGCCTCATACAGACACCCGAAAAGCGGCGATCCGTCGGGGCCGGGCCCCATAAACTGCAGGTCGGAGTAGGCACAGCTGCCAGTGGCCAGCAGGGTGGGCTCCGACCAGGTGGTGGCATCTGGGGGCTGTGTGTTGAGGTATACGCCCAGCTTGGTCCTGCGCTGCGCATCTGTGGGGTGGATGTAGAGGAGCCACCTCTCCCAGGCGCCCCGGCCCGGGCGGAGGCCGGGGAAGCTCACCACGCTGCCCTGGCAGCCCTGTGGAGGCTCCACGAGTTGGCTCACGAGCTGGGCAGGCTGGAAGTGGAGGCCGTGATCCTCGCTCTGCGCCTGCACCCGGGCTCCCCGCATGCTCCTAGCGTTGAGGTACACCAGCGTGCGCTCCTCCGACCCCAGCTCAGCCACCTGGCACTCGCCAGACTCCTCGCTCAAAAACTCGCTCCTCTGCCACGTCACCCCGTGGTTGTGGCTGATGAAGCAGAAGGCAGCGGGGACGGGCCGCTTCCCCGCTGGTAGGTTCCGGTAGGCATAGGCCGGCACCACCAGGCTTCGCTGTGTGTCGCTGAGCTGCACGCAGTGTCCGGGGCCCACAGCAAACGTGGCCCAGTCCCGGTGGGCCTCGCCGATGGCTATGTCCGTGAGGTCCTTCATGAGGGTCCAGGTTTTCCCGAGGTTGGTGCTGACGACCCGGCACAGGCGGGTGGCGTTGATCCTGGTCTGGAGCTGGTGTTGCTCAGAAATCTGCTTCTGGACGGCGATGAAGAAGAGGGACAGGAGCCCCGTCTGCTCGTTGTACAAGGGACACGGGTTCATGGACCGATGGCCCTCCAGCTGGGCTTCCACCACCACCTCCTGGTCCTGCCACTGCAAGCGGGGAGGGAGGGGAGGGAGGAGAGGGGAGAGGAAAGGGCACCGTGGTGACTCAGCTGGCACCATCACAGGCCCAGTGGGGCTTTGGGGGGAAGGAGTAGTTCATGGAGACAGAATCAAAGGCCATTGATGGGGACGCTTCACTCACCACTGCGCTCCCTATCAAGCTGCAGGGCCTGGGCCCCCCTCCGGCCCTCCAGGACCCCCCATCTTCCCCAAACAAGGCTCGGTGACTTCCGATCCCACCAACGTACGCTTGCAGAACCCAAGGCACGAAGATGACACAGGTAGGAGCCTCTCCCGGTCTCCCTACCCCCACTCCCCCCTTCTACCCCCCCCCCCACCCTGCTCCTTCCTCTCACCAGCCCAGTCTACCTGGTTGTGGGCTTTGTTTGTTTGTTTTTGTCACTTCACTCCTGGGGCTTGGACTTAGGGCCTCGCCATTATCCCCAAGCTTTTGTGGTCAAGGCTAGCACTCTACCACTTGTAGTTACAGTGCCATTTCTGGCTTTTAGGTAGTCAATTGGAGGTAACAATCTCACTGACTTTCCTGACCCAATTGGCTTTGAGCTGTGATCCTCAAATCTCAGCCTCCTGAGTAGCTAGGATTACAGGCGTGTGCTACCAATGCCCGGCTCAGTTAGGTGTTGTTGAAAGGATCGTTTTCGTGGGAACCACACCGACCCGACCAGCACGATGACCATCAGTTCCCATTCTCTACACAGTGCTCTGCTCACACATCCTAGGAAGACTGAGGCTCACATTGAACTTGCACCGAGCTTTCCTAATGCCCACGGCTATCATACCTGACACCAGGGCTCCATCTGCCTCATACCCAGACCCTGTACTAGAAGTCTAATTCCCACTGCCTCATCCTGGGGGATCCTAGATGAGGTGGTTGAACTTCCCAAGGCTCTCTGCTTAAGTGATGGAGCCAGGTCATGAACCCAGGCCCACTTGCTTTGAATCTTATGAGTATGGACAAGTATTATGTACCTGCATGCTTTGACTAGCTATCATCACTCATCATGATAACTTGACCATGATAATATTACTATTAGCCTTCAAAGATGTAAGGCCAATCTTGGGTCTTGTGCACATGTGTATGTGCTTGCGTGTGTGTGTGTGTGTGTGTGTGTGTGAGAGAGAGAGAGAGAGAGAGAGAGACAGAAACAGAGAGAGAGAGAGTATCCTGGAACTTGAACTCAGGCCTGTTGCTACACTCCAGCCTTTCACTCAAGGCTGGCAATCGACTACTTGAGCCACAGCTTCACTTCTGGCATTTGCTATTTAATTGGAGATAAGAGTCTGACAGACCTTCCTGTCCACATTGGTTTCGAACCAATTGGCTTCTAGCACCTGGCAATGTAGGGAATCTTGATATCAATATTGGCCACTTTATCTACAAGTTGGGACTATTAAAATATGCACACTCACCTCAACCCCAGCTCTCCAGGTAAATTTCACACCAAGCCTACCCCCCTGCCCTCCAGTTTTGTGATCACATATTTACTCTCTCAGATTCTCAAGGCTGCTGGGAATCACAGACAATGGTACAATAGAGGAGGTTACACAGCCATCAGGACTTGCTCATGGCGAACGCAGGTGAGGTCCAGAGGGGTGATCACGAGGGGCCCCTTCCCCACACCCCTCTTTTAAATTGTTCTCTGGTCCCTCCTGGGCTTCAGTGTGTCTTTTCTAGATCTGCCCCAGACTTTGGCCAGCCAGGGATGGACTCTCCCTTGTGTCCTGTGAGATCGAGCCCTGGTTCCACTCCACACCCCAGCAAAGAGTGTGTGCGGAGCCATCTTCGTGGGCTGGCTAGGGCCTCGCTCTGCCTCACCTGGACTTGGCTGGTGGTCTCATCGTAGCTTCCTCTGCGAACCACGATCAGATCCGCGTGCTCGTCCTTCTTGCTCAGTCGCTGTTCCGCGAAGGCCAGCAGGGTCTTCTGCAGAGGCACGTAGAGCAGAGCTGGGATTCTGTAGGAGTGGGCTCCCGTCTGGAACACTTTTTCCTTCAGCAAGGCCGGGCAGGTTGTCATGGCGCCAGGGGCTGGGCAAGGAGAGAGAATGCTGTGTCTGTAGTTGCCCTGCGTCCAGGGCCAGAGCTGTCCATCAGGACAGGTGGCGTTCACCCGCAGGCTAGCCAAGGCCTGTCCAGGTGGTCTGTCTCTGGGCTTTTGTCTCTCTCGTTATATCCTCTGACCCTGCTCCCTGATGGTGGACAGGCCTCCAGGGGGCTTGGACCGCTCCACCCCGAAGACGTGAGGTTAGGGGCAAGGGTGTGGGAAAGTCCATTTTGTTTTGGATTCTGCTACAATTGCCTTCCGATGGATTTATGCAAACCTTCAGTATTACCTTCACCAAAGGCAAGCGCATCAATCTGGTGGCTAACCCCAGGTAGGACAGGCGAGCTCGTCCCTGAGTGCGGTTCTATCGCTGTCCAACCGCCAGGCAATGACACAAGGGAGCTTTTTATAACTTCAGAGCCCTCGAAAGTTGTTTTAGAAAAAAGCAAGCAAGCAAGCCAGCCAGCCTATGCTTCAATTCTCCAGGCTCCACTCTCTTCGCTGCCTGGGGTGAAAGCCTAGCAGCCCCCGCTAAGTGGGTGCCACCCTGAGGTGGAGGAGAATGGTACTGACTGCCAATGGGGCAAGGAGGGGGCCCCGCGGGAGGAGGGAGTAAGTAACCACAGTGTAAATATTCAGCTAGAATGGTTGGGAACATGGAGGTCATGAGGGGCAGAGATATCCCTTCGGGACTGACAAGAAGAGCCCCCCAGCTCACCCCTACGAGAACTGCATGTAGTCACCTACCAACTCCTGACCAGGCCCCTTTCCTCTCCTCCATTTGTCCCCACTGGGGACAGCTGTGCTCCAGAGCTCCCTGGGGACCAGTGCGACATCTCCGCCTGGCGGTATGGTCCACTCCCAATTGCCTGGCTCAGCTTCCTGCCAAGAAGCAGCCATACCTTCCACTGGAGACATAACTCTGGGAAGAACTAGAAACAGGCTCCACAAAGATAGAACACAAGCCGGACGCCAGTAGTGTCCCATGCCTGTAATCCTAGCTACTCAGGAGGTGGAGATCTGAGGATCCCAATTCAAAGCCAGCTAGGGCAGAAGTCTGCAAGACTCTAATCTCTAATTAAGCAGATCAAACCCAGAAGTTGAGCTATTCAGACTTGAATGAAAAAAGTCAAGCAAGGGTGTGAAGCACTGAGTTCAGGCTATATACTTGCACACACACACACACACACACACACACACACACACACACACAAAGAATACAACCTTTCCTTTTTACAGCCATTTGGCTTTTTTTTTTCTACCACATGCATGCATTATCCATTTAAAACGTAATTTAGCAATTTCAAGAAAAAGTAGCCTGTGCAGCTATCATTCAATCCACAATGAACACCATCACTAGGACAATGGGATGACATGACACTTAGAAGGGTAACTTCCAACAAAGAAAAAGTATCTAATGGTGGAGGCATTGAGTCTTCCCCATAAACATCTAGGCCAGCAAACCGTAATGCTGAGAAAACGGAGATGGTTATCACTGTTATAAAATGTGAATCAAATCTGATTTCAAGCAGGAGGATAGAAAGGGAGGAAGACAGCGATACCTTTTCTCTGGAAGGCACCTCTTTGATGAAACTTCAGCCTAATCAAATTTAAATGTTCATGTGTGAAAGCTATTCAGACCCATGCTCGCTCTGTCTGTGACTGTGACCTGGCTTCTGGATGCCCTGTGGCAGGCAATAGGACCCCAGGGAATTACAAAAGAGAAAAGAGAATAGAGAAGCCAGGACCAGAGGGGAGGGAGGGTAGAGCAGGCTCCTTCACAGGGAGAGGAAGGGGTAGCTTCCTGCAAGATCAGCGTCCAGACAAAGGCTAAGACAGGGACCTAGAGACTTGCATGGCTAGAGCTGGTGTGGCTCTTAGAGAAAAGAGAAGACAGTAAAAGGAGAGCTGGCAGCCTTTGACTTGAACCAGCCATTGGAGCCCTACACTGGTCCATTCTTCAGAGATAGACCAGTTTCCTGTTCTGCTGATATCAGAGCTTGAACTCAGGACCTCCGACTCACTTGCAAGCTGTGTCTTTTTTTTTTTTTTTTTTGTCTGTCGTGGGGCCTGAACTCGGGGCCTGGGCGCTGTCCCTCAGCTCTTCAGCTCAAGGCGAGCGCTCTACCACTTGAGCCACAGCACCACTTCCGGCTTTTTTTTCTTTTTTGCTTATGTGGTGCTGAGGAATTGAACCCAGGGCCTCAGGCATGCAAGGCAAGCGCTCTACCACTGAGCCACCTTCCCAGCCCCAAGCTCTGTGTCTTGAGCCATGCTACCAGCCCAGCCTTTTGCTGGTCATTTTAGAGAGGGAGTTTTGAGGATTTTTCTGCCCAGGGTCAGTGGAATGAGATCTTCGGGATCTAACATTCCTGAATAGCTAGAATGATAGGTGTGAGCCACTGGCACCCAGTTTATTAATGTACTTTCTATCTCTCTGGATTTGCCTGTTTTCAGACATTGCATATAAATAGTGAGGCCTCTGCATCTATCTGTCTTCTCGTGCTTAGCTTGTTTGCAAGGCTCAATCATGTTGTGGCATCTGAATTTCAATGTATGTATCCGCCACTGAATCTTTGTACAACTGTGTGACAGGTGGGGCTGTGGGAGGCCGTTAGGGATGGGGTGTTACATCCTCACAGATGAGATTGTGGCCCTTAGGAGAGGACTCAAGGAGGTGACTTTGGCCCTGCTCATCCTTTCAGCCATGCGAGCTACATTTATTCCCCTGTCAGTTACAGGAGGCCATCTTGGAAGCAGATACCTGCCCCTCCCACACACCAAACCTATGGACACCTCAGCTCATGAGGCTTGGTGGTGCCAGACCCTTCCCAGACCGCTCCTTCCTCTAAGCCTTTGCCCTTGTGTGTTCAGAGACAAAGTGAGACCCATAGCAAGCAAAGAGAGCCTTGGGGTCAGCCTGAGTGCTCTCCTCCCTCTACCGCTCACCCTGCCCCAACTCCCAAGCTCACTCACAACCTAGGAATAATGCGTGGCACATGACGCCCACCCGGTGCTAGGGACTGAGTATTCATCCATTCTTTCGAGAAACTGCTTGCAAATTGTAGTCGCCAATTCTGTTACATGATGACTTATGAATGTTTTCTCATTGAACCAAGGGTTTCCCCCTTTTCTTTTCCTTCTTTCCTCTTTCTTTTCCTTCTTTCCTCTTTCTTTCTTTCTTTCTTTCTTTCTTTCTTTCTTTCTTTCTTTCTTTCTTTCTTTCTTTCTTTCTTTCTTTCTTTCTTGTGCCTGTCATGGAGCTTGAATCCAGGACCCAGGGTCTGGGTGCTATTCCTGAGCTTTTTAGCTCAAGGCTAGGGCTCAGCCACAGCCTCCACTTCTGGCTTTTTTTGGTGGTTAAGTGGAGATCAGAGTCTCATGGGCTTTCCTGCCTGGGCTGAACCCTGATCCTCAGATCTCAGCCTCCTGAGTAGCTAGGATTATAAACTTGAGCCACTGATGCTTGGCTTGTTTGCTTGCTTGCTTGCTTTCTCCCTCCCCACCCCTACCCTCTTTCATTTTTCTTTCTTAGCATTAGGATTTGAACTCAGGGCCTTGTACTTGTCAATAGGCCTTCTATCACTTGAACTATGCCTCAGCCCTTTTTGCTTCAGTTATTTTTGCACCTCCTCCTGTGTAGCTGGGATGAGCCACATGCATCATCTTTCCCAGTTTATTGGCTGGGATGGGAGTCTTGCTTTTCAGGCTAGCAACAACTTGCTACCTCCCTGATCTCTGCAACCTGAGTAGATGGGATTATAGGCAGGAGCCACTGCTTAACAACAAAGGCATTTCTGATCTCCTGCAGCATTTCCTGCTAGAGGAGACCTACAAAATGCCATTTTTGCACCTGGGCAAATTCCCAGGGAGGTTATATGCCCATTTTAGGCGTCTGGCACATCTAGAAACAATTCTGATTCCAAACACTGGTAGTCACCCGGGCCTTACTCAGTAGGAGAAGAACTCAGACAAGGATCAAAAATGTGAATTCTGGCTCTTGATCCATTCCTAACAGTTTGTGCAGGTTTGGACAAAAATCTACCTCCTTGGGCTCTATGACCTTAACAGAAGAAGCCGCCTGGAGCCCCTTCCACCCAGGGAGCGAGCCTGGGGGGAGATGAGGAGCAAAGCCAGGTTCTGCTCAGGGCTGCTGTATAGGGGCCTCAGGACCTTAGCACTGCCTGAGCTCCCAAGGCAGCAGCCAGGCAGTCGGACAGCTGGCACTCCTGGGCTGATCTCAGAGAAACCGCCATGTTGTAGCTCGAAATGGCGGCCCAGCTGGGATTGTGTTGGGTCTCTCCTGTGGTTATGGGAGGCGGCCATTATTATGGCCTTCAGGGTGCCAAGCCCAGAGCCAGGCATCTCACAGGAGGAAGCTCCCTTCTCCCCACACCCAGGAAGCACGCATGGGCGTTCTGTCACCCGCGTGGGCCCCCCAGAGGTGAGTCAGGGAGGCGGTGGAAAACTCCCCAGGAGTACCCAATCTGGGGTGCAAGCGGTGGGTGGACCTGAGCCTGGACCTGCGAGATTCCACAGCCTCCACTGCCAACCACCAAGCGCTTGCAACCCCCGAGGGCTCCCGCCGTGGGGCCGCAGCGAGGCCTCCCCAAAGGCACGCATCCTCCTCCCTCCCTCTGCCGGTGGGGCACAGCTTGGCGTCTGCCTTGCAGAGCCAGAGTGCGGGTGGATGGCTCCAGGACTCGTGCTTAGACGCCGTGTCTGCTGTGGGATTTCATCCCACACTGAGAGGAGGTCCAGCTGTCCGTGCGCACAGTATGCCTGAGCACCCTTCGGGGAGTTCAGACCAGCCATCAGTTGAGGGCAAAGCCAAGGAGTGCTCCCAAACAGCTGCTCTACGCCCTTCCCACGTGCCCCCCATCCTGCACAGCCTCTAGACATCCAATAACCAAGCGGGGTGCCCAGCCAGGGGGGGCTGAGGTGCCCCGGGGCACCTGCTGGTGCCTTCCCAC